ATGTATTTTTAATATTTTCTAGAAGATCTAGCATAGTTCACTAGTATTTAATCATTACTGTTTCCCAACTTTTCCTGGAAGGCAAATACATCCAAAATGAGAGCTCATTCTAGTGAATTAATATGAAGTGTCTGTCCTAACATCCAGACACTTACTTAAAACTGCTACTCAATGCATTATTAAGCTTCTATTAGGTTGAACCATGTGAAATTTCAATTTTTTTCAAATATTTTTATATTTTCAACATACAAAAATGGCAATTTCACACAGGTCAACTTGACACGTCCAATTCATTGCTGCAGACACAATGTAAACTCAGCTGCATGTGCTAAAAAAGCAAATTGGCAGTGAAGGACAGTCGTTAATCCCATCAGCCATCCTCAAGGCACATGAATCACATAAACCACCAGGAATACAGAGAAAAGTAGCACAGATCTTCTGAGCAGGTTCTACTTGAATATCAATGAAAATAAAGTTACCATTCTTGCCCTGAATTTTTTATTTTTGAGATAGAGTCTTGCTCTGCTGCCCTGGTAGAGTGCAGTGGCATCACCATAGCTCACTGCAGCCTCGAACTCCTGGGCTCAAGAGATCCTTCTGCCTCAGCCTCCCGAGTAGCTGGGATTACAGGCGTGCGCCTCCATGCCTGGCTAATTTTTCTATTTTTCGTAGAGAAGTGGTCTTGCCTCTAGCAGCTCAGGCTGGTCTCAAACCCCTGGTCTCAACTGATCTTCCCTCCTCGGCCTCCATAAGTGCTAGGATGGCATGTGGTGTGAGCCAATGAGCCCGGCCTGAAATTTCTTCTGGATTCTATTCATATCATTATTATTTAACCAATCTTGTAAAATATCCATACTCAATCTGGATCCGGGAAGGCAGGAAAAAGAATGCCAGAATAGAACCACCTACTAAAGGGAAACACTTAAAAGGGAGAGGGGAGGGGAAGCGCTCAGCCTTCTGACACAGGCAGAATAGAGGTGTCATTTTCAAAGCAGCAACAATGTGGCCCACATACCAGGTTCAAGCTTTTAACTCTTCATTAAATACATAAAATGTAAGGTATGTTTTCTTACTCATGTCTACTCGGGCTTTTAGCAGATTAAGGAAAAGAAGTAGAATAAGAAATTGAGTCATTTAAATTTCCTAAAATACTTGACAAATATCAAGACTTTGTTCCCTTAGTTTCACCCCAAGAAAACAAATGGGCTAGACTTTTTGTTTAACATGGATGTCTGATTAGTGACAACTTACACGGTGCTTCAATGACTGAGCTCCCAACGTAATTCATGATTTCAGAGCTTTGACAAATGAACACCATTGGTTACCCACACACACGTTTTGTATGTTCACACATTGAACCTAAGAATCCAGGTGGGAGTCAGACTGCTTGGCCTCATGGGGACACTGTTTGATGGTGAATGGTACTATGGGGGCAGTGTTTCACGTCAGGTAGTACCACGGGGGCAGTGTGCCACGTCGGGTGGTACCACAGGGGCAGTGTTTGAGGCTGGATGGTACTATGGGGGCAGTGTGCCATGTCAGGTGGGACCACGGGGGCAGTGTTTGAGGCTGGATGGTACCAAGCCAACAGAAGAGGGAGGACGGGGTGATATGGAGGCTGGGAAAGTGCTCCCTTCCCCACCATGCAAGTGCTCACTCCTGCGGCAGAGGGACCTGGACCACATGCTTCAGTCAAGCGTATCAACTTCACTCCTAGGTGTGCACCCAAGAGAACTGGAAGCCCATGTCCACACTTGTAGACTTGTACACGAGTGTTCACGGCAGCATTATTCATAACAGCCCCAAAGCAGAAACAATCCAAATGTCCATCGATGGATGAATGGATAAACAAAATGTGCTCTATCCATACAATGGATTATTATCCAGCACTAAAAAGGAATGAGGGATTGACAGATGCTTCAACATGGGTCAACTCTGAAATCACCACGCTGTAAGTGAAAGATGCCAATCACATATTGCACTTATACGAAACATCCAGAAGAGGCAAATCCACAGTGGTTGCCAAGGGCTGGGGGTGGAGGAAACTGAGGAGTGTTGCCAACAGGTGCAAGGGTTTCTTCTTGGGGCGAAGCAAATGTTCCGCGATTAGATAGTAGTTGACAGTCACATAGTTTCGTGACTATACTAAAAACCAGTGAACTGTACACTTTAAAAGAGTGATTTTATGGTATATGAATTATATCTAAAAAAGGAAGAAAGAAACAAGAATATAAGAGTAATCGTGCTCCCCCATGAAAATCTCCAGAAAGAATACTGGCTCATCTGTCGACTGTGGCAAATCAAGTCATCGACAAGGGTTGGATCTAAATTGCTTCTTTTTATAGTTAGTAAAAAAAATCCCAATATATAATTTTTGTACATCAGTAAGAAAAAAACCCGAAAATCCCTAAAAACATAAAATTTTATGTATTATTTCATTTATAATAGTTTGATAAATGACACAACAAAATTAAATGCAATGCGAAAGGAAAAATAAGTGATATTGCATGGATGTGACTTTTTCCTTCAAAGTTAACACTCGATGCACATTTCACTTCCTCCTCCCTCTGTAATTTCCTGCAGTTACAAACGCAGTTACGGCCTCATGGCAAAGAGCCATCCTGCCTGGGGTGGACACCTGCCTGTGACACACCAGCTGTGTGACCAGAGCAAATGATTTAACTGCTCTGTGCCTTGCTTCCTCCCTTTAAAACGGGAATGGCAGAAAGCACATTTACCTCTTACGCTTGTTGTGGATTAAATACAAATTTGTTATTTGTAAAGCACTTAGACTAGTGCCTGGAACATTGTTATAAATGCTTTGTAAGTATATGAGGTATCGCAATGTAGTGGGATCGTGCTCCACTAACAGTGGGACTGCACATGGCCGATACTTCATAGAGTAAAGAAAGGCCCGAGGGAGTAAACACAGAATTCTTCACTGCAATCACTTCTTAAAATGCATGAAATGTCAGAAATGGGCCAGGCATGGTGGCTCATGCCTGTAATCCTAGCACTCTGGAGGCTGAGGCGGGAGGATGGCTTGAGCTCAGGAGTTCGAGACCAGCCTGAGCAAGAGCGAGACCCCGTCTCTACTAAAAATAGAAAAATTAGCCGGGTGTGGTGGTGGCGCTTGTAGTCCTAGCTACTTGGGAGGCTGAGGCAGGAGAATCCCTTGAGCCCAGAGTTTCAGATTGCTGTGAACTAGGCTGACACCACAGCACTCTAGCCTGGGCAACAGAGTGAGACTGCCTCAATAAAAAAAAAAAAATCAGAAATGTATATAAATCCACTCAAAAACATAATCTATTAATAGATAATCCCATTAAAACGATCTATATGGCATTCAATGTCACCCTCATAAGGGACGGTACATACCAAACATGGTGTGCATGGGGTGTGCGTGTAGTCACGTGCCACGTGACGATGTTTCAGTCAACGACAGAGGGCATATACCATGGTGGTCCCACAAGATTATCGCACCATATTTGCACTGTACCTTTTTGCTTTTCTGTTTAGCTATGTCTAGACACACACATACTTACCATTGTGTTACTGCCTGCAGTACTCACTGCAGCAACACGCTGTACAGGTGTGTAGCCTAGGTGTGTGCAGCAGGCTGCCCCATCTAGGCTCGTTTAAGTACACTCCATGGTGTTCACACAACGATGAAATCGCCTAACGACGCATTTCTCAGAAGGCATCACCATCATTAAGTGACCCATGACTGTATGTGTGCATGCACAACACTCAAAAATCTAGTTAGTTACAGAGAAGATCAATGTGCAATGCTAAAAAATGATTTTAAATATGGGAGGAAACAACAAAAAAAATCACCTCGGCTACTAGACAAACACTGTGCGTGTTCACGGCACAGTGTGCTTCCTCTACCGTCAGCCTCATCGGATTTCTCCCTAAAAATCAACAAACACGCAAAACCGATTGTGCGGCTCTGTCTCCACGACACGAGCACTCACATAGCACACGCTGGTTCTCGGGCTGCTTTTCTGAAAATGGGGTGTGGCGCTGGAACAGAATGAAGTACCAATTTATTTTTTAACTAGCTCTTCAAAAACACACTCACATTCATTTCCCTCAATTTACTATAGTAAAATTAACGTGTGATGTGTTTTATCCAAGTTCATCCAATTTCTCTCGCTTGTCCCTAGGCAAACAGAACACTCTTTAATATGGGAAGTTTTGATGTGGAAACACATCACGCAAAAAAAACAACTCTTTAAAAATTGACTTTACGAAGTCAGTTCCAACTCCGAGGTGAAGAAGGGTGAAGCAGCCCGTTCCTCAGACCCGCGTGCAGCCAGAGCAGCTCTGGCTCGGGACGTGCCATTAAGTGTCAGCCCCGCAGAGGCTACCACATTACGAAAATCTCCAAAGCAATTCTAGAGATTTGTTTCTACAAAGACATGGGTTACAATCTTAGGAAGGGACTCAAGTTAAAAATTCATCAAAGGTAAACTCTATGCCCTAAGTGTTCCTCTGTAAAGACTGCCCAGCTTTTTAAGTCAGTCTCTGCAGGTCGCTGCCATCTATCTAGGTAACGCGGGGAAACTCTGGAGCTGAGATTCTCAAGATCCTGGCCACGCAAGGACGGGCAGGACCGGCAGCACCTGGGAGCAGGTGAAAGAGGCAGAATCTCAGGTTGCCCCGACCCGCCGTGTCCACGTCTGCACTTTAACACAACCCTCGGGTATCCAGGTGCACACTACGGGCTGAGGTGCACTCATCTAGGTGTTATCTGGCTACATCAAGACAAAGAATGTAATGATGCAATTAAATTAAATATGCTTTTCAACTGTAACAGGCTTCTTTGTCAGCTACCCCAACTATTAAAAAGAAAAAAACATGGTGCGCAGGAGCCACAAATGACCCTTCGCTCTCGAGACCTTTTCAGAAAGGCTCAGAATGATCCAAATGGGCGGTGGGAAATGCTTCCCGTGCAGTCCGATTTTAACAAGAGCAAATAAAAACCACGTTCCTACCTGCAAAATGCAGAGGTGCATCTTTATCCAGGGCGATCAAGGGGGGATCGAGCAGCACGGTGTTGTCATTCTCCGTAACTATGCCGTGATAGGTGGGCTCCAGCCACGGCTTGTGCTTGTTAACTACATTCAAAACCAAAGAAAGAGAAGAAAGAAAATGGACGAGGTTAGAATTGTTATTTCAAATTCCACTGCTTTGAAGACATTCATCTTCTACTGTTATTATTATTGTTGTTATTGTTATTTAGGAGACAGGGGCTCGCTCTGTCGCCCAGGCTGGAGTGTGGTGGACTCCTGGCCTCAACTGATCTTCTTACCCCTCTTACCCCAACCTCCCAAAGTGCTGGGATTATAGGCATGAGTCACTACATGCCAGCCCATACATCCATTAAAGTAATAAAACTCGCATTAGACTGGAAGGTAATAGTCGTATTTCTCCTGCAAAGTTTGGTATCAAGATCCAAATGGAATAAAATTCTAAATTCTACAGTAAGTAATATAGAAAGTAACTGAGTCCATGAAGCAACCAATTTATGAGAAATAAACTGCTCGCCAGGCATGGTGGCGCACACCTGTAGTCCCAGCTACTCAGGAGGCTGGGGCAGGAGATCACTTGAGTTCTGGGCTGCGGTGTACCATCCTGATCGGGTGTCCGCACTAAGTTCAGTCGGCATCAATGACCTCCCGGGAGCCGGGGACCACCAGGTTGCCTAAGGAGGGGTGAATCAGCCCAGGTCAGAAATGGATCAGAAGTGGGACCCAGCCTGTCAATAGCCACTGCACTCCAGCCTGGGCAACATAGTAAGGCCCTGTCTCCTATAAACAAAAAGTAAAAAATAAAAAACTAAATTGCTCCAGAAATCAAGAGTGAAAAAAAGGACTGACGGCTACGGACAAACTCAAACAATGCCCGTTTATCTCTGTTTTTAGCCTATCACAGAAAAGTTACAAAGAAAGATGTTTTCGTTTCTTTATGACAACCAATATTACTTATTTTTAAATCAGCATTACAAAAATGCAAAACACAATATTTATGAATATACAATATAGTTATGAATAAAAAGAAAAAATCAAAAAATAAATGTAAAAGTTCTCAAAAAAAAAAAACTTGACTGAAAACAAGACTGTGTAAGCATAATCCACGTTGGAGTCAGGCTGGGGGTCCAATTCCAGCTTCCCTCTATCAGGAGTTGTGTGACCTTGAGCACATTAATTGATCTCTTAATCTCGACTTCCTCGGTTGTGAACCCGGGACACCTTCGCCCCCCAGGGGGATGGCATGGATCACTGGAGAAGTGGTATTTTTCCTTCTTGATTGGGCACTAGAACTGCGACTTTTGTTTTTAAAGTAAGACCTGCTGTTCTGGCCCCTGCTGACTTCACTCTCCTGATAAACGTTTTGCTTCACTGCATTTTGCTGGGGACTGGTGATGCCAGACTTTCTCCTGGTTCTGGCCACAGCCCCTGGACCCCCTCCCAGCCCTGCCCACAGGCACACCTGGCTCCGCCTCACAGCCCAGAGCTTTTCCTTTTCCCTTTACGTGTCCCTTAGGAGTGTTAACAGCTCGCATTATAACCCTGGGATATGTATAAGCCAGGGAACTCCTTACTTAGGCTGATCTGAAAAGACAAAAAGGAACAGTAGGAAGACTTGATTTCCAAGTAGTCCGGGGTTCATTTGTTGAATGAACCGCTCAGGTCCTTTTTTGTAAGTGTGACATCAATCCAGAAGTATCTTCATGCAACATCACCATGGCATGGTATGTGGCGACTGTCATGAGGTGACAGGAGGGCGTGACGATCGTGGGGCGGCGCGTACTCACATGTAAAATTTGGACTGCGTAGGCACGTGAAGGCCTACCTTTGGAAGGAAAAAAAGACCAGCACGAAGCTCCCTTCTCTAATTAACACCACGTTTGCCAGACACGTCCGCACACCGGATCCAGACCAAGAGCAGATCCGTTGCCTTCACTTTCAAATAGACCCAGACCCACGGGGAACTGCTGCCTCATGGCTGTAGGGTTTCGATTTTGTGAGACGAGAGACTTCTGGAGACTGGCCGCACCACGCTGTGAACGTACTCGCTGCTTCTGAATCATATGCTTGAAAATGGTAAAGGTGGGAAACCTTGTTTTGTGTTTTACCACCAAAAAAACCCAGATGCAGCCATTTCTTACCCTCCCTACTGCTCACCTGACCATCACGGACGCTGAGCAACCTGCCCCCTGTTCTCATTCCCACACTTCCTGGGCCCTCAGCGGCTGCTCCGTTTATGTGGGTCTGTCTGTCTATCTGCCAGTACTTACTGTACTGGAAATGAAAACCAAGAAAAATGTTCATATTTATCAATTCATTAAAAAAAAAAAACCTCATTACCTGCTCACATAAATAATATTTTTATGAAAATAACTGTTTCTTGAAAACAAAGTTTACTAAGAGGAATGGCACCGGTTTACATGTCTGTAAATCTTTTGGCTGTCTGGCTTCAGGGAAGACAGCCAGGTTCAGTCCCTTCCCCCTGCAGTCAGCGTGTTCCCTGCTACCCACCACGCAGCCTCTAGAAAACTCCACTGCACATCCGTGAGAGGATGGAAAAGGCAAATAACTTCAACGTTATTAAAATAGTTCTGCCCCCCGAGTCTCGCCAGGTTCTCGGGGACTCATTAGTTCACTGAGGCTCTGTTCCAGGGTCCCTCCCGGTGCTGCTCTTGCTGCCTTGCCTTCCCTTGGCCCGTCCCTTGGCACACAGGGAGGGGACAGGGGGGAGGCTCTGGACCCGAGGCCCACTAACTGGACAGCCCTGCCTGGCTGCTGACTGGCCAGCGACCTTGGGGCTTTAGCCTCCTCATCTGTACGACCGGGACAATGATGTCCCCATTTCATAGGCTGTTGTGTGATTAAACATGTAATCACATGTCACTCCATGAAAAATGCCCAGAACAGTGTCCAACACTCAGTAAATGTCAAAAGGTGGTGGTGGTGTTATTTCTCTTCCCAGACATGCACACGCGCGCGCGCACACACACATACATGCACACACATGTGAGCTCGCTCACATACATACACGCACACACACGCAGACTCCGTGAGGATGTGGCCTTTTTGTTCTCTGCTAATCCCCAATACCTGGAACTATGCTTAGCACATAATCACTCAGTAACTGGTAAATGAATAAATACATAAGTAAACTCATATGGTACCAATATTAATAACATCAGTTGCCCTGGTTTGTAAATTCTCTCAGAAAGAAGACAGCTTTGGAGTGGGGGACTGAAAAACAGGTATGATTTGGGGTTTTAGACTCTGGGAAGGTGTCTTCTATTTTTTGTCTGATCCCGGCAGGTGGATGTTCTGAGCAAGGAAGGTAGAAAACTCAGAGGCGGAGCATGAATCGAACAAGTCCAAAGAGGCCAGTCTGGAAGCGGTTAAGCTATGGTTGGATTGTGGAGGGAACAGAGGGACCGAATGTGAAGTCAAACCCAGATGGTAAAGACCAAAAATCTGAAGTGCCTTTGAAACCCTCCTGCCCCTCTCCCAGGCTGCTCCTGGGACAACAGACCTGGCCGAGAGGCGGTGGCACAGCACCCTCCTCATCCGGCAACGCTCCCCAGGCCGGTGCAAGCTGACCGGTGGGGCGTCCAGTCCACCCGAGCTTCCCAAGCAGGCCGCGCATTTGGTCTGGGAGGGCTCCACAGCACACAGAGGACCGTGCACTTGGCACTGAGGTTGCACATGTTGCCTAATGGCTGGAACTCAGCATCCTCTCCAGGTATCTTTTTAACCAGCCACGCTACAACCCGGGCTGGAACACGGCCTGTTGTTACAGAGGTGAGACAGGTCACAGGCCACTTAAAAGACAGGACTCTGAAAACTCCACTGTTTGTCACCAGTCTCTCATTCTAAAACACAAGTTCAATTTGCCATTAATGGCAATATTTGGTTCCAATCTGTTTTCACACTTTAAGGTTTTATTAATACAATTACAAGTATAATAACAATAAAAATGAAGATTATTCCAATATCCGAGTCCATAAGCTAAATGAGTGTATTGCCTTTATTTAACCCAGCAGGAAAGTGAAGACAGTAGCAGGGCAAATCACGGAAAACCCGTGATGAGCAGCAACATAAAACATGAGTTTCTGCGGCCCTAACAGAAAGGCTTACAGCTAAAAAGGGTTACTGGTTCAGGAAAAAATAATTTTATAACTATATTCCCAAGTATTCTAATTTTATAATTCAAAATTTCTAAATTGTTCCTTTAAACTGGCAGTAGAATGATGAGATTTGGCCAGTTCCAAAGACTGAACTTTTAAATATTTAATGAATGATATTTTTAATATTTCATCACGTTCAATTTTCATTATAAAACATTTATAGAAACAAGTGACTGATGTTTCTGTAATCATCCCAAAAAAAATCACAGACAAGAGACAACTGGCTGTAAGTTTAGGACCATGTCACCTATATTGAAAGTCTATACCCGATTCATTCCATCACATTCTAGATCATTAAAAAGCCAACTAAAATTTTAATGGTACAGCATTAACTTAGGATAATGGAACAGCAAAGCTGGCAATCAGACCTTCTGCCAAGTGTGGGATGTTTCCGAGGTATATACCTACTGTTTTAGGACATGACTAGTTTTTTGTGGTTATAGATTTCAGTCATTAGAAATGATCTTTAAATCAAGATGAAAAGAATAAAATAGTCAACTTCAGGGTTAACATTAAAGACAAAAGATATGCCTCCCTAGCTGATCCCAACTCTGTTGGCTAAAGAGAGGCTGGTCCTGTGCCCAAGTCACACAAGTAAAAGCCTCTGGCAGGTTGGTTCCAAAGCCTGCATGCTAACCACAGCACACCGCGGTGGCCCAGACACCAACCCAGACCACACGCGGCTCCCTGCTGGTTTATCTGTTTATACAGACAGTCCCCACTTACGATGGCTCAACTTAGGATTTTTCAACTTCACAATGCGTTCATCAGAATGCAACCCCATCGTAAGTCAGGGATCATCTGTAAGTAGAAACCCCCTGTCTCCAAACGAGAGTTTGATGTCTCTTCTTTCAGAACACCTAGGTTGGTCATTTTGGTCTTTAAAGAACAACAGCTGAATGTTTCAAG